CATGGCCTAACACGAAATCCACACTTTTACAAAAAAAAAGGTTCCAGTCTTAGGGGAGGACAAATGACTTTTCATTTATTTATTCACTTCAAGAGTTTTCCCGAATCATTTTCTTACTTTCTAACTGCAGAAGAAAACCAAAGAAAAAGAAAAGACCAGAATTTTTTTGTGAGGGCATATGCCTAAATTCGTTTATAATACCCTCTTACGTCAAATGCATATAGGCGGAATTTATTAATAAAAGTTTATAGATAATAAAACTTGTAGCGATTAGTTTGAATTTCAATATTAGGTTGAACACTTTAATAAAAAATTGTATTGTAAAGGAATAGCAATTTTTGTTTCTGTACAAGCAATTTTTTGTTAGTGGGGGGGGAATTAAACTGGACTTACATACCTTAAGAAATATTCTAAAAATGTTTAACATACAAAAGTACGACGTGATCAGCGTTTAGGAGGACCATATAAATACTAAGGATAATAAATTGCGATATTACTAGATTATTTTTTCCAATGGTTCTGAGGTGTACTGTAACCCTAAGTACAAAATTGAGTTTATTCCCCTTGAATTATTGTGTTTTTGCTATGTTGCTTGAAAAATTGAACATCCTGAAGTTTGTTCAATAATTTAATTCATCGCCGGACGGTTAATGCAAAAGTCATCCAAGTGATCCGTGGTATTTTAAAATAAGAGAGTGATCGTTCAACTTTAAATGTAAAACCTTTTAGTTCCTGTAGGTTTTACCATATTGTTACAAACTCGCAAGCGAGTTATATAAATGTAAGCAGTTAAGCGTTTAACCTTGAAAAATGCAACATGTATAAAATGTGAAGTACCATATATACTTGGTAGTCCGGGGATGGCTGAATATGGTTTCTATCCGAGACGTAACAGGCGCAGCTCGTACATAATTTATAAACATCGTCGTGCAATAAGCGAGCAGGCTTTTTGCTAAATCATTTAATAAAATTTATTAACAAAACCGGCGATAGATGGTGAGAAATTGTTTATTTTTTGTGTGGAATTTTACTGAAATTTGATTTGATGTATGGTGAAATAATTTGATAATTTAAAATAGATATTATTATTTATTGAAGTCATGAGGAGCTGTCAAGAAAGAGACAGTTTAGAAAAACATCTTTTTCTTTTTTTTGCGGTCGTTTCGACCGTTATTCGGGTCATCTTCAGAGTATAAAGTGTGATGCTATTCTCGTGGTGTCATAATGGTTTTGTGTGAAAGTGTTGTCAATATATCTATTATTTTTACTGTGTAGAGTACCTAGGAGGTAATTTATACTCAATTGTTCGTAAAATGCAAATGGCTCACCTAGAAATTAATCTGAAACGGTATTTGTTTTAAGAAACTTGAGAAGAAGAAAGGCTAATTGGTCTGAGCTTGTTTTACTTCCAGTTAAGCATTTAGAATTGTACATTTATTTGGTTAAGTAAATATGGTGCATCATTATTTCTCACATACGAAGAAATTCGACGATGTATTGATATGGATAAATTAGATAGTTAATAATATAAAAAACGGGTGTCAGAGTGAAATCAGTCAGTTCGATACGAGATGAAATCGGCAAAGTTGTTCTTTCTCTCCTCGCCATTGTGCTGACTTGGGCGGAGGAGCACAAGATGCTCCATGAAATAAAGCATCACATGACGATAGTCGTGACCAAAGAAGAAAAAGTGCTGTATCGGTCAAAGTAGAGAAGGAAGTTAAGTACCCGGTACACGTCAAAGTGGATCGTCCCGTGCCGTACTCCGTGGAAAAGCCGTACCCGGTCACTGCCGAGAAGAAAGTCCCAGTGGAGGTGAAGGTCTACGTGCCGGCGCCGTACCCCTTGGAAAAAATAGTCCGTGTACCTGGTCACAGTCAAAATGTACAACGAGCCCTACAATGTCTCAGAGTCCGTCGAGAAAAAAAACCTTACACCGTGGAAAAGAAGGTATCTGTTAAAGTCGAAGTCCCAGCCGAGAAACCGTACGAAGTCGAACCAAGACCTTACGAAGTTGTGGTCGAAAAGCCTTATCCTGTGTCAGTCGAAGAAAAAAAGTTCCAGTGCACATCAAAGTCCCTTATTATTTCAAAGTTTTCAAGCCGTTGTATGTTGAAGAATTTCACCATGAAGAAGGAATGAAGCCCACCAAACTCAAATCTAATGTTGAATCTGAATAAATAAACCGACTGAGGTTTTATATATACAATATTTGTAATTTTTTTGGTTAATTTTGGATAATATTAATCTGAGCCTGTTTAATTAAAATCTTAGGATATGGTTTGATTCGGAATGAGTCAAAATTGTGAAATGAATAAAGTGTTAACTTTTTTTCAAACAGAACACGACTAAATTACCTTACACTTTTGAAATTTCTTTGATTAGTTATTGGAAAGTGTATAATTTGGTCAACATATTTCTTTCTCTGTTGCTAGTAAATAATGTTCCAGACATTGCTGGGAAAACCAGTCTCGATCAAGTCGCCCTTCACCGGTCGATTAAGCTTAATCGCTCGAGATTGTAAACCGGGATTTGTTCCATACCAATCGTGGATTATCGGCCAGAATGTTCAAATTGTCATGGTGAGCCTGCAATCTAAAACCGGTGTCCAGAATATTCGGCCAAGTCAAGCAGAAATCTTTCAACCAAACGTCTGGCCAGGAAGAGATCGTCTGGAGGAATTGACTCGGATCAATTAATTTTTAAAAACAATTCATTTCCAATTTGATAAACGATAATAAGGAGTCGGCCCTACTTGTCTACTCATTTAAACATCTTTCACATTATTTGCTGAAATTGAAAGGGTCTTGCTCCGCCATGCTTATACCCTGTAACCTCGCATCATCTGACTGGCGGTTCTGGTCTTTAAACGGAAGGTATAAACGACGGACTTACACCTAATTTATCCCCACGAAAAATCAAATATTGGCTTATTCTTGGGCCATACTTATAATTAGTGTGCGTGTGTGCTTTGTATTTATTTATTGATTAAACCATTTTTGCAGACGGCCTTTCGTAACCTTTTACTTCAACTACATAATTATATGCGTCTACATACTGCTAAAAATAAGTTAACGATAGTACTATGTAGTTTGGTCTATTATCGTTGGGTTTCTGTCTTGTTTCTTTCAAATTTATTTCTGTTGTCATATTCTACGATGATGGCGAATGATGAAACGCCTCGGACAAACCAATCCAGTGTTGGAGGACAACGCGATCGAAAAAGGCCATAACACAAGTTCAAACCCCCCCCCCCCCCCAACATTAATTGACACGACATTAATATGTACAACATGGATATAATTATTTTTGATTTGCAATCTGTATTAAGTGTTATTCTTGTTTACTTTATTTTTTATTCTGTGCTTTAAATTGTCATGTAATTATTTTCGTTTCATTAGTTTGATCTGACCCAACTAAAAAACTTATATCAAGGCTATTCAAGTGGCTTGACATTTATGGCAGTAATGATGGCATTTTAAAGATAATGGCGATTTTAGGAAGGACAAGACAAAGGGAATTAACAAGATTCACCAGAACCCCGCGTAAAAACTCCCTAAGGTCAACTAGGCAATAAAAAGGAGTTCATTAAAAAGTCGTTACTCTCTTTGACGGCAGGTCAGCTGAGGGTAAACTGTCTCCTTTCAGAATCTCATTTCCATTTGGCATAGTGCATTCCTCGGATCCAATTTTAATTCAATCGGAGCACGGATCATGCGGTTACCTTCGACCTGCAAGAATGCGGATGGCCATGCCCACGATCAACGTGCCTTATTTCCGTCGTAATCGAATCCGTTCAGGAAAAATTGACCACAATAACAGCTCTATTTAATTTGTAATGTAACGAATGGAAGAGCGATGATTTTGGTTCTGAAAAAACCTTCCAATGCATGTACCCGATTTAACTATGGATCACCAAAAGTCAACAGTTTGCAAATGTTTTTCGTTCGTGACTATTGATACTTTTTCGGAATTACTGCTAATTGTTCAACTCTAAGGTACAGTTTACAGCACTTTTCAAAACGAGTCAAAGTTAACTGCAATATTAGCCGTGATATAAATATACCAAATCTCTACAATTTGGCCAAAACCATCCTAAGGAAATTGTAAGATAAAAAAAATTACATCAGACAAAATGAAGAAAAAGATAAATTTTAACGTACACATCCAAATAAATAGAAAACAAATGTTATTGGCAGAATTACAAACACGGATGTAAGATGGCACAAGGAGTTGATTGAAACGTAAAGGTATCTTCCAAACAAAATCCCTGGCATGTGTCACAACATTTCTTCATATTGAGATTGAAATAATAAATATATGCCTACATAATTTAAATTCTATAAAAGTAAGCTGTAAACTTGTCTGGGTGTTGTTAGATTTCCTCTGTCCTTGCCTAATTGCTCTTATGTCTGGAAAATGTTATTGTGTTATAAACTGTAACTGACTGATGTCCAACTGACCCGTGCAAACTGAACTCCACATAACTCCTTTCTGACCAGTGACCCCCCATTAGTTAGTACCGACCTTTTGCAAACCTCCGAAGAGGTTCTCTACGTGGGGCTTTCCTCTCTGTGGCAGCTACTACCCGCTCGCTTTACCATTTTGCATTTCTTGAGCATTTCATTGGAGGGGATTCTGGAACGTCCAAAGAGACCCAAAATGTGTTGCTTCGACTTTTACGTATCCTCATTCTAATTGTACAATACAGTTAATACAATGCATATTTAACTATTAATTTAACAAAAATAATAGTCTTCTCTCCACGTTTTTAAATAACTAAATAATTATTGAATAGGGGCGTCGGTGGCCGCAACGGTTTAGGCGTTGACACGTCGCTCATCACTGTAAGGTAAAGGTCCCGGGTTCGAATCCAGCGGCCCTGCATTCGAACCCGACGTACTTACAAATGGGCTTTTTTCAAAAACACCGGCACCCCGAGGGTTGATGTAACCTCTGCTGTTGCGAATCCTCAAAAAAAAAAAAAAAAAAAAAAAATGAATCCTGTATGGATTTACTGAAAGTTATGAATACATATAAAAAAGTTACCTACGATTACAAGAGATGTTCAGTGACTAATTTAATACTAAAAATACAGTTTCTGTTATCGCGTTTTGTTGATCACCTTTCCAATATCGACGTAGGTTCTGCAAACATTTCTTAATATTCAATATTTACACAAATTCGTCATACGAATTATGTATTCAAGGTGTTTTTAGTGTAGGTGGTGTTAACTTTTTTTACGGTTTGTCAAACGTGAACACTTGGAATGTATGTAATGATGTCAGCTCTGTAATGCATGGGATAATTAGTAAATATTAAATATACATTATTGGTGCGTCGTTAAGCTTTATTTATTTTAAACAACCTTTTTCGCACGGAATAAAAATGGTCCCGTGAGATGCTGAGCTTTAGTGTTTAGAAATGCTTCGAATAATTTTTTGAAAGTTGCTTTAATGAACTTGAAACTCACCTTTCCGTACGCTGTTTAAAGACCGTCATATTTTATGTTTATTTTGCGTGAAGAACTACTTTCTCAAATACAACATCGTCTTCAACTCCATCCTGCAAAAGGAAACGGGTGTAACATTTTGTCAATTAGGCGACAACTGGAAACATCCGAGATTGAACAGAACATCGCAACTCTTGAAAAAATGTATTTTTTTCAACTTTGCTAACTTTTCTTCAATACTCTTCATCATATTGAAGGGATTGTTTCTATAATTTTGTAGAACAATTCTACACAAACAATCCTAGCGAACATTTGTTTTACAATCACCTAAAAGCGAATGATTTTTTTTTGTTCAATACAAATGCCAAAAATTTAGTCACAAATTTAGGATCTTAAACTTGACGATTCACTATTTTCCAAAACCCTTAACCACGAATTCGCAGTACTAAGAAAACATTGGTTATAATAGACGAAATAGATTTTGAGAAAACGTTATCGAAAATCGGCAAGAGACAATCTCTCGTGAAAAAAAAATATGCATATCAAAATTAAAATCCATCTAGTGGAAGTTCCTTAAACAAAAATATATAGGTATATATCCGAAAACGGTTGCTTCCCCCATAAAAATTGTTGGATGTAATATCCAATAAAAAATACGTTTTTTTATTAGTATATACTTTTATTTATTCTATTCATGTAATATGTTTCATTTAAGACATAACTTTAATATTTTTCTTTTGTTGTTACAGGTACAGTTAGGCGATCGCCAGTTTATGTGTATTTCTAAATTTAAATGTGAGCCTTACGCATAACATTTTGTAAGTATTTTAGTTAGTTAATATAACGAAAAAATTATTTAGAAAACTCAAATTCTCCTGGTGTCAACTGCTAAATTATCAACAAATTAATCATTGATTGAATTTATTGTAATAAGTAGCTTGGCTTATATGATTAGGAAAACCAAGCTTATATATTTAAATAACACATAAACATTATTCTAGATCAACTGTAAGTTAATTAATTCTTCGTTTTCTTAATGCCAATAAGCATTCTTGCTTATATGCTTGCTGAAACGAGTGCACGTAGATCATAAAATTACAAAATTCGATCTTAGTCGTTCAGATCGAAGTATGATGCCATAGGATAATCACCACCAGGGATCAACTGTAAGCTTATTATTCAGAAATCGTGAGATGCGGTCTGGTGTGATGTAGGTTTCAGAAAAACATTTTCTTTATGATGCCAACGTTTCGATCTTTATTGAGATCATCTTCAGGGCTCAAAGTGTTTGTCTTCTGTGTAATTGTGCCATTCTTGCGTGTCGTGTTGAGAGTGTAAGCTTATTAATCTTTGGTCAAAAATACAGTCTATGAAGAATGATGAATGCAAATATAACAAGTTTATCAGTGTTCTTCAATCGATCAAAACGAAAGTATTCTTTCAGGGGATGATTAACAGTGATCAGATTGAAGCCAATACTCGATAAACTAAAGTCTAGCTTACATTAGAAATACTATATCGATTTCTGGGAAGTCAAGATTCTTTTGGTGGTTTTTATTATAAAAGAAATTTGACTTCATAAAAATCCGCCAGTTCCAACACTGAAAATGGCGAAACTGACAGGCCAACACAGCGAGGGTAGCAGACCAAAATGATCTGTAAAAACTAATTTACAGAAATATCTATGAAAAGCATAAATGTGAATGACAACTTTACATTTAAGAGTATTGGCGAATTGAACAGAAGGAAAATATACTATTGGTGCCAATTAATTCCTGATTAACCAATTTATGGTCAGCAGTCCTACCTGATAAGTTTGGCTTGAAAATAGATGAAGGTAATGTGATGACGGACATTTTTAATTAAAAATTACAACGTTGTTCCTCAATTGGTCAAAATTCAAATACCAAAGTTCACATGTAAGTTAGATTAATGATAATTAACTAACTTAAAAATTTAGCATTGTACTACGAGATTGGTTGAAAACTTGTGATTTCTTTGAAATTATAACTCAATGGATCAAAATCCCACTGTTTCAGGGTAGAATATGTTTGCAATTTTCAGTAATGTTTTATCCAGTCACTTTCGTCGCTAATCGATTCTCGCCCTGTGAGAATTTGCCGATTTAAAGGGAGATAGGCAACTTGAGTTCTACCGTTATCGCATGCTAACTGTTCACTGACTATTGGATGAATCGTCCCGTCCGTGGGAGGAAAATGGATCATGTTCAACGGTTTTACAACGAATCAAGTTGTAAATTGCTTATTCCGAAAAAAATAATTTCGGTTTCCTAACGCGATCCGTCGAAATCAAAAGAACCGGTCCGATGAAGAAATTAAAGAGGCATTTTGTCCTTTTTAAAAAATCCACTTTCTTTAGCCTTCGGACAACGTCCAGTTGGAGAGAGAGCATTTGGATGTACACCCAATAACCTCGTTACGTAAATAGTTACGTATAGACGCATTTTTATACCTTCGGTTTTATTTTGAACGTGCTAAGACTTTCTTCTGTATGCTCTGAATGTTTTTCTAATCTTTCCATTCAACGAAAATGAAAGCTCGATTTTAAAGGACCTTTAATTGACTGCCTCTCGGTTGTCTTAGGACAATCGAAGTTTTCGGTTAATTTGGGCCAATTACGTACTTTTATCGTAAAATGTAATTTTCATTATACACTATTTTATTTAAACGAATTACCGAATTACCATACTATTTAGTTTTTAATTTTGTAATATTCTTGGTAATAGTAATGGTAATGAGGATGTAAGGAAGCGGGGTTTGTGCTCCCCAGGCACTCCAGCTTACTGGCTTATTGTACCTTGCTGCTATGCTTATTGCATAATCTGCTGATGGGGTCATCGTTGTATATGCCCATGATGTGTACCTGTTAATAGTCCTATCACTCCTCTGAATCTAGCCCTCTCCAATTGCAGGTGTGAGTTTGCCGGTCTTGGTGAGGGGTGTTTCAACATAAGTTTACTATGTTATCCACCTCTCTTTTTGTTTTGTTTGGATCCATTCTACGTGGATTCTATGTTTGTGCTTGTTATCTCAAGTATAGGTTCGGGGCCTATGTATGGTCTTGCAGATCCTCCTCTGGTCAGTGTGTATGCTTTTTCGTTACCCAAAATTTCTCTGTGCCCTGGCACCCAAGATCCGGTCGTGTTTCCCCGGGTTTAGGAGATTTTGGATGCATTCACTGACTAATTTTGATGTGATTTTTTACATGCTATTGCATGTAATAAAGCTGCCCTAGCTGCTTGGCTATCAGATCTTAAGAATATTTTTTTGCCACTGTAACCCCTTTTAATATTTTCTAGGGCACAAGCGTTGATGGCATGTATTTCTGATTGAAAGACCGAAATGTACTCCCCTAATGAGTTTGATTGCTCATTGGGCTTTTACAACAAATACCCGATCCGGTTCCTTCGTTTGTGTTTTTGTTCCTTAGTTTGTTTTTGTTATCTCTTTATCATATCATTGTATCTGATGCTCTCCTGAGTTCTTCCTCTCCTTTATAGTCCGTTGAGACTTTATAGGATGTTGTAAAGAATGTTTCCGGGATCATATAGTCTTCATTTCTAAGAATAATATTTATAACAATAATATTATATAAGGTAATATATAAAATTCTTAGTACATTTACTAATTATTTTGAGGGTTGGTGTACGATAATTAGATGTAATTGCCTGTCGAATTGCATACACTGTTACCGTTAGAAAAACTTTGTGACAATAAACATCATTGCATTTTAAACAAGAAAAGAACAAATTTACGATTTTTATGCTTAAATTAACTTATCTTTTGTCTGGTTGAAACATTCTTTTTAAAAATTAATTCCTGAACCAGGAGATTGTAGTATAAACTGGCACTCGTATGTAAATATGTTTAAACTGTCGTGAATATTTTGAATACAGATTCTATTCTATTATATTGTAAGAACAATTGAAAACCACTAATTTGACATATAACTGCATTTTTGCTTACCTCTATTTTTATTTTCAACAAGACCTTCAGTTGTTTTTACACCCCATAGACTATTGGAATTTTACTAAGACGAGACCGAAACATAATAATTATTGGCAATTTGGCTATTCGTTCCCTGCTTTCCCCAGACGTGCCAACCCAGTTTTACAAACAGCCTTAACTAATTAACATCAAGCGCTGTGTCACGTAGAACTGTTTTATCTTATTGGTTCATTGCCTCTTTCCAAGTTTTACACAATTTTATTACAAAATTTAATCAGGTTTTATGAGCTTGAACACTGTTTTTAACTTCTACTTTGTAGACGTGATGGGCTACAGTGATGTTATTGTAACGATAGACTATATACCAGATTTCGTTCTTATTGAATAAACTGAATTGATTTAAGTCATAAAAAAAAGCTTTTATGCATATGCTTTTTTTTTTCAATGTTTATTTGTTTCAGTTTTGATTATTAGGGCCAACTGATAACAGTTAAGACAATAGAATTACCAAATTTCAGAAGAATTTAGAAAGTCTCTAAACAATAGAACAGCTTTTACTATCGGAATTTTAACTTTAACTAAAAATTGTATTTTTATATTTAAATAAATAAATAAATAATATTTTTGATTTAAATATTGAAAATCTGATGTATTGTCTAATGTTGTCTCAAGGCACGATTGGCATGTCCATGATCTAATTTTGCGGTGTTATTGATGTATTAAGCGTATTTGCTTTTTCTAATTGTCCGGGGAATCGTTAATGGATAGCTTATGTCAAAAGGCATTCGAGTAACTGTTTGAAGGTATCAGGTTTGAAATTAATCACAGGCTTATTAAATTCTTCTCACAATCTTTCCTTAGTCATTCAAGGACTTTTTTATCCTTGGCATTCCTTACATAATCTTCAATCTGATTTTACGCATCAGAGCCCGTTTTCCCCTGGTTTTCTTCTCGAGAAAACGCCGCGACAAAATAGGCGATCCATCAGTGAAACCAGTTCAATTTAAAAAAATTTTTTTTAATAAAACAAATATCCTAAAATGCCCAGTTCTTGTTGGCCAACACTCAAACCTTAGTCTAATTATTACAGGTTTAGTAATTCTTCAATTCTTCACAATTAGAAATCCAAACCTGGCAGTGTTAAATATTCGTGTGTTTATGAAGTGTAATATATAAAATAATAAAGCTTTTTTTCTGGCCCCCATGTCCACTCTGTAAGAACGATCTCATGCTACGGACTCCGGCATTCTGTTATTGCTTTCTCGTCAATTATTTTAATTTTTTTGTGGTATTCTAATGTGTAAAAATTATTGATTCTAGGTCTGTGTAAAGCACTTTCTATTTTAAATTTATATGGATTTATGAGTAAAGAATCTTTACACCTAAATCATGACGGTCCTTAAGGCTAAGCAAGCTTGTCGATAAAATAAATAATATAAGTTGTAGATAAATGTATTAGTTGTGGTGTAATATACTGTGCCCTTTAAGAGCTATTGTATCTCCCGTTTTGTGCCTATAGCACACTGGTGAGTCCTATTGCACCAAGGAACTGATTAGTAGGACCGGTTTCAATAGTTGAATTTCTTCTACAGTCACATTGTACATCCCAAAGCATGCAAGTTTAGCACCACAGTTTGTTAGTAGGTGTGATGGTGTCTCCTCTGCCTCTTTGCATCTGCATGTTCCATCTTGGATTATACCAATCTTCTTTAAATGTCCATTTGGTTTGCAGTGCCCTGTTAAGAATCCTATTAGGATTCGCAGTTTTTCCTACTTCCTTTGATACATTCTGTCACTTCTTTCCTTCCGAAATTTGTTAGGAGGTTTTTGCATTGTTTGTGTCCAATGAGTGAATTGCATTGTTGCCTCATTTTCTTTTTATACTTCTGTCTGAGATACTCATTGAGAGTGTGGGTTCCTACTTTACAGAAGGGTTCGGGTCCTTTCAGCCGTATACCAGCCCCTTTCCTTGCAAGGATGTTTGCTTTCTCGTTGCCTTCTACTCCCATGTATCCTGGGACTCAGCAGAGGCTGACCTTGTTCTGCGTACCTAATATGTTTAATTTGGTTTTGCAGTTCAACACCATCTTTGAACTAATGATGATTGAGCTTTGTGCTTTGTTGGCTGCTTGACTATCTGACATGATAGCTATGATCTTGTTTATGTCAAGTTAAATTGAGTACATCTCTAGATTGCGTGGACCGCAGCTTGGAAGATACTAGTGCATTGTCCCATGTGTGCTGAGTATTTGATTCCGGGACACTCCTACCCCTGTTTTTGTGTTCTAGATCCGTCTGTTTACCAAAAGATGGTACCGTTCTTACTGAGGTGTTTTCCTCTTTCTCATTTTTTTGGTACCTAGGTTTATTTGTAAGTTTAATAATATACGTTATAGGTTATTTAATTAATTTAAGCTTTTTCACTGCAAATCTTTCTTTAATCAGTTTGCTAACTTTATAACAATGTAGCTTTGTGGATCGCTTGTAGATTTTCTTGGGACAATAGCCATAAATTTTTCGTCTAGGCATACACAAAGAGAGATACTATTGTAAATTGTTTATTTTTATGTCCGATCATACAATTTTCCTTTCGCTTCTATGATCATAATAATGACGTAAGACTTATCCTATATGCGTTTTTAACCTTTCTTTGCATTTAGTGTTTTGGTAAAGTTGTGGTATTTACTACTTATTTGGTAATAACTATATTGGGTTAATTGTCACGTAGGTTTATTGCATATTTTGAAGTAACGTCCAAACCTACCTAGATTACGAAAGAGTCTACTTCTCAATATCTCGATTAGGCGAAAATTGTAGCTCATCTAATCATCTCGAACACATTTTTAATTAGTCGTTTATTTGTTATTTTATAATAAGGAAGACAAATATAGCTAAATTACTCAATTAATTATACATAATTATTTCGAAATGAAAAATTTGAGTCACAGGCGTCATTTCAAAAAAATTGTGTACTTATGTAATTAAGAATAAGGTGATAAAAATAATTCAAAAGTTAATATAGCTTCTTAGCTAGTTCATAAAGTTCTTGTAGTTTTCTTTTTTATTTAGAACAGATACAACCAATTGACAAATGTGTATACAGGGAGACGACATTATGTGCTACACCAATTTTTTTAATGAAGAGAAATTAAAAAAAGAATATATATAATAAAATATATCTTTTTTAAATTTGCCATCATTAAAAAATTTGTGTGGAGCATATAACGTCTATCACCTTGAATTTCGAAGCAGCCTCCTCTTCAGCATACAAAAATGTGTCGTAATTATTGTATGCTGAAAAGGAGATTGCTCCGAAGTGTATAATTTTCAGTTGATGGTATAACATAAGGAACATGTGAACATTAAGCATAACAAAAGGAACCTACAATATATTTCCAAAGAAGCAACATTTTTGATAAAAAGCAGTACAAATCTAACTAACGTGGTACCGATTTTTGTCGCAATTAGGGAAATTTAAATTACTTACTATTAACGTACTTCGATGGAGTTGTCAGATTTTTAAGTGACAAATAATACAGTAGTTGCTGTGAAGCTAAGGCTATGGAGTGTATGGTATCCGATCACATTTCTATTATGAAGACGTGCTTGGCTCATATTTCAGCAGGCTTTGTTAACCTTTGTGTGCCGAATAATCAACTTACGACATTAGTATGCCATTGTTTACCTTTTCTGACTGTCCTTAATGGAGGAGGCAACACTCGGATTGGACTTCTCCAGTCTGAAGGCTGGATGATCCAAATACGGCAGGGCACGTGTGATGAAGGATCAGGCGGAAGCCGAACGCACGTACGACAGGTAAGCTTCCGGCCGTGACTTCCAGTCATTGCACTTGCCCGCACCACCCAATTCACAATATTTGTTGTAATTCCGTTCTGAAACACTCGCCTTTTCTGTTTCCTCTGTTGTGTCGGCTTAGACAATAAGTTGGTTTTTTTTTTTGCACGCGGTTGTGTAACGTTCTCCTGTTCCCTCCAAAAGCCCAAGGGCATGAGAAAAGCGTCTCGACCGAAGGGAGATTTTCGCACGAACTGGCCTTGCCGGCCTGATTGAGGTGGTTTTTCACCTACGTGAGAACACCAGCTGAAAAGTTAAAAAGGTGCAAGGGGAGGAGACGCCTTAGTAAAAATCACCTCGGGGGAACATGCAACTTCGAATCCGGTTTTAAAACAGGCAAAATCGCAAAATACAACCTGTTCCCTCAATTAAGAAGTAAAATTCTATAACCACTTAACGGTTTGGGCAATGTTTCAACTACCGGGCCCTTCTAATTGCAAATGTTCCAAAATTCTGAAATGTCTAGATATATTACTAGTGATAATTTTCCAGATATAGGGTGCATTTCAAAGAATTACTCAATTCCTTAATCAAACTTTGGCAGATTGAAAGTTTATGGCGTAAACCAATTTCATTACATCAGCAGCTTAGAATAAGAGCTAAAATTGGTGCACTATACATATACATTGTTGCGGAAATAAGTTTTTTTTATACAGCATTCTCAAATTACACTTACTGCTGTGTTGTATTTCAGGATTTCATCAAACTTGACGTAGTTTTCAGTAAAACTTCATCGTAACGGTATTTTATGATTCATAATTTCTAAGTAAACAGCCTATTTTACTTAATTTTTTACGTGGGTTAAAATCTTTTGAGTGCCAACGTTTTTGAAAAAATTCAGGACCGTAGAATTTGAACCGGGGCTTTTTTTGTGATGAATCGCCATATAATTAAAAAAATAATATAAATATATAAAAAATACAATTACATACAGAAATTGCAATGGCAAGGGCCATGCAGCAAGACTTAATTATTTCAAAACATATTGTTAGGTCTTGATGACAAAATTTTGACCCCATATTTGATTGCTTGAGAAGAAGCTCATGCCTTTGAAAAAGGTTATTTCGCCGAAGTTGACGTAGTTGTTGCAAAAAAGAAAATTTGAACAGATTTTGGCACCCACTCCTGCCAGGTCATGAGAGAATCTTGATGCTGATTAGCAACAACCATATTTAAATATTTTGGTAACCCATCGGATTCATGGTCTGTCCATGTCAATTCGAAATATATTCCCTGGGATCTGACTCAAAACTTTTCACCGTGATTCTACTGCTTTAAGTCGTTGCGGACGTGTTTTGTGCAATGTTGCAATGTCAGTCGGATTAGTAAAATGATGTGAGTGAGGTTAAAAGTATATAATTATATCGAATGATAAATCAAAATAATCTATCGATATATCGTTATTCTTGATATATATCAAAAGGGCGATATATCGGAAACAAAAAAAATATCGAATGATAGTAGAGCGACAGAAAAATTCGATCTTAAATTAAAAGTGAATCAATACTTAAATAAGCTGAGAAAATTTAACTGGTATTCCCAACTCCATGGGATACTTAGTAAAAAAATTAAAATTACATTTTGCTAGAAATAAATGCAAATAAAGGAAAATTCTAGTAATGTTGAAACAATTGAAACCCATTTAAGAATCATAGATTATAAGCTTTACAATTGCAAAATTACAAACATTACAAAAGATTAAGTTAAAACAAATAAGCAAATTCAGTCCACTCTAAATGAAATTCTAGATATTAATTTTGACCTCAAATAACTATTACAATAATAACTTACGTTTTGCTAGGCTTTATACCACATATAATACGCGATATATTAAAAGTTGGTCTTTTACTACCTGTCTAAAAATAAGGTCGGTAAAAAAATACAATTGTATTAAAAATACATAGTATATTGCTCTAAATTACAAACGGAGTGATGATTTGTTATATTTCGATAATATACTTACAATTAATAAACCTAAACTTATGAATAATTAGACTGATTATATATTGTACCTTGTTTATCTCTCATTATCAGTTTATTCCCATCCTGCCTTTATTATCTCTAAATATTCTATTATGATATTATGGCATTTATTATTCTCTTTTTTACAAACTTCATATCGTATAATAATGGCAATTTAATTTTTTTTCTTCAAATAACGTAACTTTTTTTTTAATCTATTCTGATATATTATTGTCATATAATAATTTAACTTTATTTGGATAGGATCTCCTAGACGACAAATAAAATACTACTGCTATCGTCTAAATAGTAAAATATATAGTTTTCTTTGGGATTTCATCATATTTGACGATATTCACATCTGTGATTGCGGGTTCAACCTGACTCTATTTCATTCCTAATGGTTTTGTTGACTTCCTTTGGGTTTCACGATCTCACAACTGTTTTTTCTTGCAATTGTAAAAATAGTTTGACGTACATATTCTGATAAATTATTATTATTAATACAATAACCGCTTTTTATGTGTCTAGGTAAATTGACACTGAAATATATTCTGTGCTGTTTGCCTTCATGTTTGTTGAAAACGTGAAACACCAACGTAAGTTCGGGATGTTATGGATTTATAATTTTTTCACCGAGTGGGGATTTTCTATTCAACAAAGAACAATATAATTTTACAATTTTTTCTCTTCCTAGAAGGGAATTAACAAGATACAAGTTTTGTTTACAATTTAGCAGTCTTTACAAATAGACAAAATGACACATCCTATATTAATTTCAGTAGTTGTCAGGTTTATTCACGCATTCTTTCACAATAATTCAGTGGTGCGTTTTCATTATAAATATATGATCTCATGGATATGTTATTGTGAATATACCCATGACGATAAAGTGCTTGATCCGAAACTAAATCTGCGGGTTCATCACTTTACAGACCTGAATACAAAACTGTCAATAGCTGAAAGTAACTATTTAGCAATCGTGTAGATAGAAAAGATACCACATCTTATTTCTGTTGTTGTCTAAGAAACTGTATTGTGGGACGTCTTTAGAAGTTTGCTAGGTGATGAACCTGCAATTCGATCGTTTCTGTTCATCCTAGTTTGCCTATCCTTGCTGGTTTGGTATATAAGACTTTCATGCGCCATCTTCTGTGCTGGGTTGCTATCAATATATGAATACATGATAATAATATTATGAACACAGAAGTATTGGCTATATGGCTATTGACGCATATGGCATACCGAAACAGTGAGATTAGACCTACCAGGATGGTCGGAAACGGCGAGCCGCACTTTCATCGCCTTGCAGATCCGTTTACAAACTCAAGATAGAGTGGTTATTCTAATTAGCGATCTTAAAATAAAAAAAAGGCGCATATTGTCTTATTTCTGTTGTTGACTAAGAACTATTTTGTGGGATGTCCTGATCAGATCTGCTAGGTGATGAACTTGGAGTTTAGTCGCTTTTGACATCCTACTCTGTCTATCCTTGCTTTTTTGGTATCTAAGACGCTTTCATTCGTCATCCTCTGTGCTGGGTTATATAAATTATTTAAAGATATGAGAATATTATTATGAATACTCTGAAGATGGTGAAGAGCCGAAACGCGTATGACGGACCAAAACAGTGGGACTAGGCAGGCCAGGATGATCAGAAACGACCAACCGCAGGTTCATCACCGTACACCTGTACTACTCAAAATACAGTAGTTATTCTAATTAGCAATCAAAATAGAAAGAAAAAATGACGCCTATTTTCTTATTTCTGTTGTTGACTAAGAACTGTTTTATGGGAAGTCCTGTACAGGTCTGCTAAAGTGATGAGCATGCAATCGGGTCATTTCTAAGCATCCTGGTCTGCATAGTCTTGCAGTTATGGTCTGAGACGATGTCATACGCCATCTTCTGTGCTGTGTTGTTTTATAAAATATTTGAAGATCTGATAAAATATTATAAATGCAGTGAAATTGGCGATGTGCCGAATGGCGTAACTAAAAGTATTAATAATGTTTGCATCTAGGTTATGAAATTAATGCTTGTGTATTTAATCGCTGAAATGTTAAACATTTGCTTAGTGGTCATAATTGACTATATTAATTATTCAAATTAATTATTCGAACGGTTGTAGGTTGAAATAAGGTTGGTGTCCGAGGGGATCGATGTCACGATAGCTCAAGTGGTTAGAGCGTATTGAGCCGAAGTTCATGGGTTCGAATTCCGCTCGTGACACTAATTTTTCACCTCAACCCAAAACCTTACATAAAATGAATAATTAATTGGAATAACTATATTTAAAGATTTGAGATCTTCTTAGCGTCGTTTAGCGTTTATATGACTATTTGTCAATCATTTCACTTTTCTTGACAGTGCAATTGAAACAATAGGTTCTGTGGTTGGGTACTGTTTGTTTTGATAAAAGGTTAAATTTTGTGAGAGGGCGGGCCTCACGTTTGAACGTTGTTGCGTAACGTTCTTGTCAAAATTGGCATTCGAGTACGTCCTTGTGTATAATGGTGTTGCCTCCTCACACTCTCTCATTCTGTTTGAACAACGCCTCTCCAGGTGAAAAGGGTTCCCGGCCTCACTCGTTCCAAAAGGGCCGTTATTTATTGATAAAATTCCTTCGAGTTGTTGAACTCTGTACAGAATTTGATCGAGCCGACTCTTGTCAGTGGGACCCTTCCATAGCCTCTTCTTCCCCACCATCGCGGCCAGCACAAGTCGGTCGGATAAGGCAGTGCGGCCCGAGCCGTTAACGAGTGTGCTGTTCCTCTGTGACTCGTGGATAAGTGTTTTCAACGACAAGGTAGCGTTTTTATTTTTTGGACCAGATTACACCGATTGGAAGTATCGCACGGCCGAAAGGGCCTTAAGGCCAGGAGAGCTCGAGGACTTTCTATTCCTATCCGGAAAGGTTGTGTGGTTCGGCGCCCCCTTTTGACATTTAACGCTCGTGATTCCCTTTCATTCTTTTCTGTCTTTTGGAAATTAATTTTAGCTTTTTTCTTTTAAATCCGACTACATGGATACGGGACAGTGTGCGTATAGACGATACTCAAAACTTGGTTCTTTTGTACACCCCTGTTTGACTTGTAGCCTTGCATTTAAATTTTTTTAGAACAAAGCAATTATGACTATATTTTGGCAAAAAATTATATTCCTAGTGGCAAATTCATTTAAAATCAACCACGTTGTCGATTCTAATCACGTACATTATAACAAGTCTTTTTAAACTATATTTTTCAAACTTTTAATATTACTGAGTATTACTACTTGTTATCCATTTATACTGAAAACATTCACTTTTTTTAAACGAATTATTAATATAAATCAATTGAGGTATTGATAGTTTGAGATTGTTTAAGTGTGAAATACTTGTCGATTCTTTAAACATTAAGATGTGATAACAAGTCACTTTAAACTATATTTTTCAAAATTTATAATATTACTAAGTATAGTAATACTTAGTATGAAACTTGTTGATCCATTTATTCTGAAAACCTTCGCTCTTTTTAACGAATTATTACTATAAATTGATTGAGTTATTTAGATAGTTGACATTGTTTAAGTGTGAAATAATTGACGATTCTTTAAATATTAAGATGTGATAACAAGTCACTTTAAACTATATTTTTCAAACTTTATAATATTACTAAGTATTACTACTTGTTGATCCATTTATTCTGAAAACTTTCGCTTTTGTTTTACGAATTAATAATTGAGGTATAGTTGAGATTGTTTAAGTGTGACATACTGGACGATTCTTTAAATATTAAAATTCGACGTAGTGCTAATTGCATTTTGATAGCAAACTAAAAGAAAACACGAAATTTTACCACGAATTTAATTGCTTATGTACAAAATACCATGGGTGCTTACTAATTGAGTTCTTTCTGCATGGAACTTGTTTACC